CTTCTTGTTCGGGTTTTCACATAAATTGCCCCCATTTGCAAGTGCCTCTTGCCGTACTAAGAGATTTTCGAATTCGACAATGGATGGTTGTACTGGCCACCCTTGGATTGTAGCTACGATGCTTTTGAATTCATACTTCAAACCATTTATAATGATTCACTTATACGAGTCTCCCCGATTTGAGACTGTGGATCAAGTTCTGAGATTTCTCTACAAATTGACTTCACTTTATGGAAAAACGGGGGAATAGACATCTCACTTTGTGATGCTGACAACAATTTGTTTTCAAGTAATTTCAATCTTGTATCATTCTTTTTCGAGAACAAAACATGTACAATATCCCAAGCTTCTTTAAGAGTTGTCGCATCTCGGATGTGTTCAGCACGTCCTCTTCAATTGTCGTTTTCAATATGAACATGGCTTTCCCGGCTTTGATTCTCCGCTTTCGTAGTATCCTATTATTATCCTCTGCTTCGGGCTGTCTTACCTCTGTACCATTAACAACCCCCCACAAATCTTGTCCCTTCAAATACGAAGTGATGCACATAGACCAGGATTTGAAGTTTTGGTTGTTAAGCTTCTTGACGCCTCCTACAACTTGAAAATATCCTATGGGTTAGGCTCTGATACCAGTTTGCTAACCTTTATGAAGTCACAATCACTTGTACACAACAAGATACTTTTGATTATGAGTAGAGAATAAGAACGATACGAAGCACACACACACTTACACAAAGTTGTGTATTTTCTTATTACTAAGATGAAGTAAACAAAATGCCATATAAAGCTTACAGTACGATAAGAAAGCTAGGAAACTGTCCACTAACACATGATGTGGAAACAGTGAAAACTACCCACTACTTAAGCGAAAAGACAAAGTCAAATAAAAAAAATACTAAGCATAAAAGAAAAGGGTCAGGTGCACAGAGTAGTCATGTGTATACGTACAACAATGAGAGTAGGAGTTGACTGTTAATAAATAATTATTGGAATCATCTCTAACATAGTACTTGGTTGTGATCATAGTGGTATACCCAAAAGTAAATATGCAGATTCAAAAAAAATTGTATATTCGAATTGGTAGGAAAGTATATGAAGGCTCATGGGTTTTGGACATTAAGGGTCGTACGTGATGAGCACAATCATGAACCATCAATGTATATGGTGGGTAAAGCTTCAAACATAAAATTACCATTTTTATAAACCAAAATCGATCCATTCACATCATTAAATGAATATAGAAAAACTTGTCTAAATAGTGCATGAAAAGAAATAATGGTTCGCATCATTTATGATGAATAGCAACAATCAACCAAATTTAATCTAACATCACCACCAAGCACAAGACCACAAGTTCCAATCTTGGTAATAGGAGAAGATCACCCATTGACCATGAAAACCACATCTTGTATCAAGGACCCAAGAGCAAGTAAGTTGTGAGTTATTAGTTTGAATAATGTAAATACCTGCCGACGATGGCTTTACTTTTCCATCCTTGATGTCCTGCAAGTACTTGGGGGAGCTTCGTTTCTAATGGCCCTTCATTGCAATAGAAGCAAGTTACCTCTTTAGGATCACTAACAGTAGGAATGTTAGAACTGGGCTTTGCTTTTGGGTCATTGCTAGACGACCCAACATGGGCCTTGCCCTTCCAGTTCGTCTTAGGAGCACCTTTCCTCTTCTTTCCTTTGTTTTTCCCAATGGAAAGGATAGGAGCATTAGTAGGAGTAGAATGTTGATTTTTCTTCAAACTTGGCTCAACTGTCTGCAATAGGTTGTGGAGTTGGGCCAATGTGGTTTCAGTATTGTTCAAATGATAAGCCAAAATTAACTGATCATAACAAGGTGACAAGGAGTTAAGGATCATGTCAATGGCCAATTCTTTGTCGAAATTCACATTTATCTTTTCAAGGCGCTCCACGTATCTCTTCATCTGTACACATGATTTGCAAACTGACTCTCCTTCCTTCAACTTGCAAGCCATTAGGGCTTTGATGACCTCATACTTTTTCTTGACGAGCTCTCATATGAAACTTTTCCACAAGATCCAAGTTCATCTCATATGGCCGGTAGTCCTCATAGAACCTTTTTTCAACTCAGGAACCATGGTGGAAAACAACAAGCAACCTTTGTTGCGTCATCATAATGTTTATTGAAGGAGATGATTTCTTCAGGAGTAGCAGTGGACTCATCAATTTCAATAAGTTGTTTTTCAAGGACATACTCTTTGCCCTCGAATCGATTAGCCATCTTGATGTTGCGCATCCAATCATTGTAATTGGTTCCATCCAATGTCACATTGGACACGATCAAAAGTAATTAGAAGTTCGAGTTATGGGTGGAGGTTTGAGAAGCAGGAGCATCACCAGGATTAGACATCTATCGAGAAAAAGTAGTTTTAGTTAGATGACATAAATCCTTAATATTTTAACCCATAATAAATATTTAAGGCTAGGATCCAATATAATAATTCACAACTAAGAAGATGGATGTCGTAATCTTATCACAAATTTATGAAGGTAGGTAAAACAATTCACAAATTTCAAACTATGAAATTCTTAGATCTTTTGGGATTCATTGAATCTTATCAATGGTATGTTTAATCTCAGATTATGCTCTTTTATTTGTGACTAGGATGCCACGGATCACAAACAAGATGTGAATAACCATGCAAACATGCTTGGAAACCTCGATGTCTTTTATCGTCTCTAATTAATGTGTCGGTTAACTACAAACGCTCCATTAACAATGATAATTTTCAAGATGTCCATCATTTGTCTTCAAAGTCCCTATTAGTATGCCGATTAACCACGTACACTCCACTAACGACATATTAAAGTATGATGTGCGTTTTCATGGATTAGCATACTTTTCATATTTTTTACTAAAGTAAGTAGAGTGAAATTTTTAAAGAAAGTTCTAGTACTTTTGTATCATTATACTTTTATGATATTATGTCCTATCAAATTCGTTCGGCTAACGACCATCCACCATACACAGGAGTGGTGAGTGAGAGTGGACACCCAATGGCGGTCATTTTATAGGTCACTTCCTTATACCCCTTTATAGTATAACTTCGTGAATGAGGCGTAGTAGCGATTTGATTGAGTTTTCTTATACATATAATATATTAAACTTTTAATAGTATATATAAGGTGTATTTTAAAACTTTTCTAAAATACTAGCTTTAATATTAAATTTTTGAAAATTAATAAAAATTAATTTAATTTAAAATTAAACCAATTATGATTTAATCTTTATCTTTTAATTAACAATTAATTAAATTAATTTAAATCACAATAGGATTAAATAATTATTTACTGTAAATCTGTTAATCAAATAGTTTAAATATAATCCTAATCCAATACCTACTAAATTTTGAAAATTAAGGGTATTGGGTTATCTAATTTTAATTATTCTATTTTAACCAATTAAAACAATAATTATCAAATAAGAAACCCTAACAAACCCTAAATAATTTCAAATTTAAGGAAGGATGCCAGGGTTTCAAGAACCCTAGCCCAAGTCGAAAATTCCAAGCCTTAGGGTTTAATTTCTATAAACCCTAATTTGATCTATTCAACTATTATGCATATTCAATTGAAAACATTGGGCTCTGATCCCATTAATATAGGTTTTATAGGTTACAAAAATATGTAGCGGAAAATAACTTAACTCTTGAGTTCACATGCAACCTAATTGGATCTATGTATTCACTATTGAATGCTATGATCTATGAACATCAAGGAACCCTATGGAAACCCTAGTCTAATCGAAATTCATAAGAGGGTTAGGGTTCACATACCTTTTTATTATACTTGTAAATAACCAATAAAATCCTTCTTCAAAAACTCTTTGAAGCAAGCACCAAAAATCTCGTGACTCTGATGGTTCACACTCAAACCCTAACAACTAAGGAAACTTGAAGAGAGAGAGAGAGAGAGAGAGAGAGAGGAGTGAGCGAGAGAGAGGGGAGAGACGAAAGAGAGAGGAGGAGAGAGAGAGAGAGAGGAGGGGGGAAGAGAGGAGAGAGAAAGAGAGAAACAAAGAGGAGAGGGGATGATTTTCGGTTATCCTTCTAGGAGTATGGGTAGCCAAAAATGTGATGTCTAATTTGAAATAAAATAATATTATTTAAAATCCGAAATTATCTACCTTCCTAATGATCCATATTATCCATATGGAATATTTCAGAAACCCTAGGGAGCCTCCGATTTTCGGCCAACCATAGGAATATTCTAGAGTTACTCTCTTGTTTAACTATTGAACAATTACGGTTTTAGTCCTTGTACTTTTAATTAATCCAAATAATCCTAAAATTAATTCTAATTAATTTTTAATTAAATAATATTATTTCTAATTAATATAATCTCATAATATATTAATAAATCATATATTGCTATTTACTAATCATATAATAAATCAATAAATTACTCTCTCTCTCTCTCTCTCTCAAAGTCATCAATTCAATTGCTAGTTTTGAGGGCAACCCAAAAAGATTTTGTTTTTAATTCAAATATATATACCAATTTAGAAATTTGACGGTGATGGGTTGACACAAACGATAATGGTTTGCAATCGAGAAGCATGATATTTTCCACCTTCAGACGTGGGTTGTTATGTTGCGATTAGGATGAAGATGAAGAATCTTTGTCTTTAAGGAGAGCAGAGCATGCGAACTGTTGTTGATGACGAAGATGTGAGAGGCAGAGGCGGAGACGGAGAAGTGAGCACCAAATTAGGGGTTGATGAGAGATAGATGGAGGCGGTGATATATTCTAATCGGGAGGGAATGACGGTGTTTAGAAGCGTTAGAACGGATTGAAAGATTAAACCCGATGAACAATACCCCGGTCAGATACTCTTCTTAAGAAGCCTCAAAATTAAATCTTATATATAATTAGGATCAAACCGTCGTAATTTATTCTTTTAAAATTCCATGAGTCGGGCAACGAATCTTGGTTACTCAGTCAATCTGTATTAAATAAAATTAAGCTGCATAGCCGGACCCCAAAAGTTTTCAACTTTGGTTAATGAATTCCAATAAAATCCGCTCCACTCTACTCCTTAAATTCATCAGCCGCTGATCACCGTTCAATCGAATCATTCTTGCTGAAATGGCTCCGATTGCTGTTGGTGACACGATCCCCGACGGGACTCTTGCCTACTTCGATGAGCAAGATCAGATGCAACAGGTTTCTGTCCACTCTCTCGCCGCCGGCAAAAAGGTCGTTCTCTTTGGCGTCCCCGGCGCCTTCACTCCAACTTGCAGGTATCCCGAATTCCATTTTGCCCATTCTCAAATGAAACTTCAGTTGTTCATAAGCTTGATTCTTAGCAATTGGAGAAAGCATTAATGATTTTATGTATCTAAATCATATATATCTCGTATCAATTTCAAATTTTAGGGCTTTACTAAATGAATCCCTAATAGAAGAGGACTGTTGATGATAAATTTATATGATTTGTGTCATTTGTCCTCTTAAATGTCGAATTTGATCTTCTTCTTTGTTCATCAAAGTTGTAATCGTTTATTTGGTTGGAACAGTATGAAGCATGTCCCGGGCTTCATTGAGAAATCCGACGAGCTTAAATCAAAAGGCGTAGAGGAGCTTCTGTTGATCAGCGGTAAACCATAAGTGTGAATTTAGTGTCTGTTCTTAGTTTTTAAATTGTTAATTACGGAAGTAATCTTCTTGGTTTCATTTTCATTTGCAGTAAACGATCCTTTTGTGATGAAGGCATGGAAGAAGTCATACCCAGAGACAAAGAACGTGAAGTTTCTTGCTGATGGAGCTGCGAAATACACTTACGCACTTGGGTTGGAGCTAGACCTTTCAGAGAAAGGGCTTGGGGTTCGTTCACGAAGGTTTGCGTTGTTGGTGGATAATTTGAAGGTGGTGGCTGCGAACATTGAATCCGGTGGTGAATTCACAGTGTCCAGTGCAGATGATATCTTAGCGGCTCTGTAAATCTGTAATGTGTCAAACTTTCTCTCTTAATGTTTCCTCTTCATTGAGTAGTATCTTCTCTAATACTTGTAGAAGAGAATTAAAAGATGACTATGTATGAGGTGCGTTTTATTTTAAATAAACGGGATTCAGATTTACACTTTTATTTCACTTTGTAAAGTATAAATTTTGCTGCTCTTCTACTCAAGGTATCTCTAACCTAACACAGAATCCCATTGTACTAATCATATACACCAAAATGGTATTAAAATGATGATGGATTGAATCATACTCGTGAGGATTTGATGTTTGGTATTATACTAATACTTTATGTTAGTATACTTGTGTAGTTATATTTAAGTTGTATGGGATTTGATTTTTCGTGTTATTATATAGTTCTTAGTATATTTTAGTTGTATCGTTGTATTATAAATATAATAATGATTAGTTGTAATATATTGAAATTAGTCATTATGTTTTGAATTTATTTATAGTTATTATAACATAATGATGTAAAAGAAATTGGTAAAAACCTTTAAAAATAAATGTTTATTTTTTACAATTTATATAAGTTATAAAAGAAGATAAGAAAATAGTTTTTTAACTCACAAATTCGCAGCAACACCAAAAGCGGAGAGCAAAAGAAGAGAAAAGAAAGGGTTTTTTCTCCTTTTTGGATTTCTTGAGACCCATATAGCGTTTCTTCATTTCTAGGAGATCCAACGGTTCGTTTTCTTTGATTTTTGGACATTGAGATCTTCATATTGTCCGCTTGAATTTTCGAGATCAACTCCACAGACTTGAGAAATGTTGCTACTATTTGCTGCTGGAAATTAGCAACATATTATGTGATATTCCTCTTTGCCTTTTGTTTATTTGATTTCATACAAAGTAATTTGATCCAAGTGTATGATGATTATTCTATGCCTCTAAGTATATATGGAGAAGATTTTGTATTTCTCAAATATTGGTGATAGTGAATTTGAAACGGTTCTAGTAGTCCCGTGGTTTTTACTCTTGTTTTGAGGGGGTTTTCACGCTAAAATTTTGGTGTCTCATATTGATTGATCACTTATTGTTTTGGGCTGATTATAAGGTTATACAAATTTCATTAGGACTGGTTTTGTTGCAATTGAAAAATACCTTATTTGTTTGCATCCTCAAATGTTCATTTGAGTCGAGAAATGTTAGCCAAACGAAGTTTATTTTCGCATTGTTATTTACCGTTGTAGTTGTGGTTTTCTCATAATATTGATATTAGAGCATTGGTTCTTGTTATTAGGTTATTTGTTTTTGTTATTGGGTTATTTGTTTGAACAATGGAAGCTAATACAAGTAGGATTGCCAATTTGAATGGTTCTAATTATCATGTTTGGAAAAGCAAGATGGAAGACCTTCTTTATGTGAAGAATTATTATTTGCCCGTATTTAGTATCGACAAACCTGGGGATAAAACAAATGCAAAGTGGAATATTTTGCATAGAAAGGCTTGTAGATAAATTCAACAATGGGTTTATGATAATGTTTTTAACCATATTAGCACGAAGACTTATGCTCGTACTTTGTGGAACAAGCTTGAGCATTTGTATGCTCAGAAATCTAGGAACAATAAGTTGTTATTAGCTAAACAGTTGATTGGCTTGAAGTACCATGCTGGTGTTGGGTTTATATTAAAAAATAGTACAATTATAGTGTCAAAACTACGAGGTTAGCAACGAAAGCATTTTAAAAGAATATCAATAAAACCATGTTATACCCATCAACGATCTTTTCGCAAAGCATGGAAAGATTAAAACACAACTATAAAGACTTTGATTTTTCTCAGGAGATTGGAAGTTGATGAAGATGGCAAAGACTTCAAAGTAGAAGCTCTCTATAATGTATTCACCAAGTAAGGATAAACCACTTTGAGATGTTAGTCTTCACTTGTAATTAGTTGTTCTTAAGCCTTAAAAGACATGTATCAAATAAGTTTTAAGGAGAAACAACTAGTAATCCCTTAAACTCGATACTACACAGTGCAAGAGATGAGATGGGAGAGCACCAAGTTGCTCTCGGTTTTTGGAGAGAAAAGAAGAGAAGAAAGAGTGAAAAAAAAACCTAGTTGGTTTTTGTCACTAACTTTTCTTTATATACTACCTTACATGTAAGAAGGATCATACCATCTTTAAATGCAAGATTAAGACTTATAAGAAGGCATGGGTGAATCACAAAGTCAAACAAGCAACCATCACCCTCCTTCATGGAGTTTATGGCTTTAAGGAGGTGATAAGAAGGCTAATGTGTTTTTCACTCAATCTTCCAAGTTCCAACTAACTAGTTACATGTAGCAACTAGATGATTACTCAAAGTGTCCAAATAAATGTATATGACACACACACACACACACACACATATATATATATATATATATATATATATATATATATATATATTTTCTTTCATACCATATGAATACAACTAATTTTTATTTTATTTTATTATTATTTCCTAGAAACAATAATTCCCAATTAGTTGTTAAAATATTATTTTCATAAAATAATAATTTTCCAATTAAATACACGTGTTGATTATATTTATTAATAATCAAATTACTCTAATTAATAATTAATAAGTAGTACATTGCTATAAGGTGTGACCATATATGATCATATGTCATTAGCAAAATATCATTCTATAATGACTCTTGGGCATACATATCTTTCAATCTCCCACTTAAACAAGACTCGTCATAGGTTGATATAGACGACGGTGAACGTCTAGCAACATTTCATTTCCCCCAATAGCATACAATGAATAATGTTATTCATCCACATCCAATTCCCAAAAGCTTAAAACTATAATTGATGTATAAGGTAAGTTTATCAGTTATCCTTTTGTTACAGACATCCTGTTGAACACGAGACTTAGATCACAATCAATCTCATTTGGTGTTCAACTTTGGGTAATGTGCATTAGATGTCTAGCTCTCAACACATAAGAGAAATAAATCCAATTTTGGCTACATAAGCCTCTTATATAGTTCATGTCACACCTGATTAATTTGGAATTAATTTTGGATCAATTGAAATTAATTAGAAGTGCAATGACTGCTTGGTAATTGCTTAATAGTTGAGCAAAAGAGTGATTTTAGAAACCTCCATGGCTTAGATGGTTTTGGATGCCTTGGATGGCAATCTAGAATGCTCTAATTAATAAGGAAAATAGATAATTACCAGGATTCGAAATAATATTATTTTATTTTCAAATCTAGGGTTTCTTAGCAGCTATATAAAGGGTCATAGGGCTTGTAATTTTCAGCCACCGGTACAAAAGAAATTACACATTAACAGTAAGAAACACAACACCAAATCGATTTCAGAAATCTTTCCAAAAGTTCGACTCAAATATTTAGAGATTTTACAAATTACAGAAGCTTTTTACTTACCATTAGTTTGATGTGTTTCTAACTCTTCGGCTCCTTGTTTTCTCGCCAAACAGAGGAGAAATCAGACCTCGGGACTTGATCGAACTCACCCAAATTAGTTGAACTGTGAAGAGAAATCATAAATCGAAATATCCATTATCCAATAATGTATTTTCTATTGTAATGGAACTCCTATAGGTAAAAATCAAACTCCTGACAAAAACACAAAATCAAATTAAGATATGATGATTGATGGCGGCAGTTTGGAACGAAATTAGTATTAGATTAAGAAAAATAAAGCTCACCCAAATTAGTTGAAGAGAAATCAGAAATCGGAAAATCCAACAAGTCCTTTCTACTTTCGTTGCCCTCGGAGGTTTGCTTCAGGTTAAACAAAATCAAATCGGAAATCGAACTTCAACTTGCACACAAATCTTAAATCGCAATACTATGAGATTATCGATTAAGTGCAACAGTAGGTTTATATGACAAAAATTAATGAGAATAAAGAACAAAAATCAGATGTAGATTGATGGTAAACATAATCACTTAATCAGTTCAGTTGATTTAAGTGTTTTTTAACCACAAAAGTGTTTATGGAAAAAGTCCTTATTGGCTTTTTAAGCCATGAATCACTAACTTTATATATTGCCTTGCAAAAAGCCAATTGAAAAACACTATTTTAAGAAGCCAAACACTTTTTTAACATATTGAATTTTTGAAAAATCAATAAGTTAATACGTTATTTTAAAAAGCATTCCCAAAACACCCGCTTAGACTTTAGATCCGACTCCTCTATTTCTACGAACTTGTACGTTTTTCTAGGGAGTGATTGGATTTACCGATTTGGCGATTGCAATTCTCAAAGGGCTTCAATTATTTGGTGCTCACCTGTCACGCTTCGCTCTTGCCTCCACACAATCGACTGAACTTCTTGCTCGTGGACTAAACTTTTGGGCCAACATAATATATATATAGTTCTTAATGAACTAAATTTATGCCCCCCTAATATGTTGCCCTCGCATTTGGTCAAATGTTTGATTATAATATTATTGTATATCTTTAGGTCATTGGAATAACTTATTGTATATTTTTTGGCCATTAGAATACAGAGGTTTTGTAGATATCGTTTCAATCATTTACGTCATCTCCAACTGTTAATCTCTTAAAAACTTATTTTCCATTAATCTATAATTAATCTATAGTAAACAAAAAAAAATTATCACAATTCTACAATGGTTAACATTTTCAAAACTTTTTTTATTAACCAATTCATCTTTTATCTATCTTAAAACTTTTATAAAGCCCCTCATAAAATTTATCATTGTCTTAACATGTCATATTTCGGCAAACATAAAAGATTGTAAAATTTTCAATATATAGTTATGAAAATAAGAAACAATAAAAGACCATGCGACCTCAATGTTAGACTATCCCATTGGTGATCTTTTGGGAAATAAAAATGAAATATATTTAGTGATCTAAAATTAGAAAGGAAAAATAAAAATGATTCAATGAAACATATTTCCCCAACGAGCTGTTCACCAAAAGGCTCACCAAAAGATTTGTGCATTTTTATTTCTTTATGTTGTCAAGTGTCCCTTTTAGATAGTGGACTTAAATTAACTTTTATATTTAAATCTAATTTAGTTAATAACTACTTTTTATACTTGGTAAAAAATCAAATAAAATATACTGAAATATATAATTTATTTTTCTCCACAGAACAAGACCAATATTAATATTTTTTTATAAATTTTTTAATATAAAATTGGATTGGTTTAGATTGAATAATTGAATTGGGTTGGGTGGAAAGAGAATTAATTTTTTATAAAAAAATTGGGTTAGATTGAGCGGCTAATGGGGATAGTCTTATATAGAATATTTTAAAATTTGTTTTATTTTGAACTTTTTTGACAAATTACTTTTAAATGACATATTTTTTTTTTCCTTGTCCGGACTATAAATTAAACGAATCGTATGTGAAGCTTTGATGTATGGTACATGAATTAACTATGATCAGTTCCCAAGTATATAAATCACAATAATCATTAATCTAAAATTCTAAATAAACAACAGTTGATACTACATCCTCTTTCTTTAATAATTGATTATTTAAAATCCCATCTTAAACTCATATGTTTGTCATTTCTCTATCCCTCTCTTATTACAAAATCCAGAATTTTCAGACAACAAAAATCGAAAATTTTCAATCACTCAGATACATAATTAGCATGTGCTCCAGAAAAATATGTCTTGGTGCATCGTCATTAAGAAAGATCCACGGTTTCTTGACCATTGACAAGCTTAGACTGGAACTGGCTCAGCAACCGCACTAGAAACCTCATTTTTAACCTGCACAATAACAAAACAAAAAATGCGTATCGTTTCGAAGTTTCTAAGTCAGTCAAAAGACTGAGTAGCTGAAAAGTTAGCTGTTAGTTGATAAAGTAATAGATAACAAACGTAAAATGACATAAAAGGATATATTTGGATTTTGGAAAACTTGTGGAAGGGTATATTTGGAAAAGTTATGGAAAAATCCCCATGGGTATCTTGATTCAAGAATTGGTGTGTTATTTGTTGGTCTTATTATATTTATACCATTTTAAAACGAGTGAGAATGTGAGTTGAGGAGGAACTAATGAGGCTTTCCCTCTTACCTGCAATTTGTACATGAACAATCGTAAGGTTTGTCATGTAAGACATGACATGACATGACATAACAGGTTGTACTGTGTTTGACATGCACTGGACTGGAACTAATGTCAGACTTTCTATTGTTTCTCTAATGTTGTTTAAGACATTTCTTGGACCTAAAATACTTTATTTGAAGTATGAGGAGATTGAGATTACCTTGGCTGATTTGAATAGTTCATCAATCACTTCAGACAAAGTTGGATGAGCATGAACAGCATATTTGATATCCTGCATCATTCCATTCCAATGTTATAATTAATGATAAATGGTAAATAAATAATGATAAATGGTAAATAAATCCAAACCTGGATACGTGTTCCAAGAGCAATAGCATTTGATGCTTCATGAATAAGGTCTGCAGCATGCATTCCAAATATATGAACTCCAAGAATCTCTCCATTATCAGGTCTATAAATCATCTGCACACAAAAACCAAAACATAATGAGTAAACTTACAATAACTTTTTTTTTTTTTTTTTTTTAATGCATGAAATAACCTTAGCAATCCCCTCTCCTTCATTTTCAGCAAGGGCTTTAGTGTTAGCCTTGAAGCTAGTTTTGGCAATACTGATTTCAAATCCTTCCTTCTCAGCTTTTTCTCTTGCTTGTGGCTGCAGGGTAGGGTTATAACAAAAAAAACTTCTCATATATTTTTATTTTTTTTATAAACAAATTGAAAAATAATACAAAAATGAAAAAGAACATACCTCTGTTAACCCAACCATGCTGATTTCAGGATGAGTAAAACATGCAGCAGGGATGCTTAGATGATTTAGGACATGGTCTTTCCCAGAAACTTGCTCAACAACTATGTTAAGGGTACAATTGTCAATTCACACACGTAACAGATAAATCATTCAACTAAAAGTAAACAAAATCTTTACCTGAAATCCCCTGTGCACTTGCTGCATGAGCAAGCATCATTTTTCCATTAGCATCACCAATGCAATACAAATGAGGGACCTGAACAACAATAACATAAAGTAAATGTAAACAAATGGAATGTTAAAAAAAAGGAAAGATAGATAGAGAATGTTAATTACCAATTCGCCCTTGGAGTCAATAACTCGCATGCGCTCATCAACAGGAATAAAACCACGTTGTGTTTCTACATTTACCTATAACAAGAGAAACCAAATAATAATAAAAATCTTTACACATAAGATCTTAGATGTAGTAATTGCTAGATTCACATACATTCTCCAAACCAAGCCCATTTGTGAATGGTGCTCTTCCAGTTGCAATGAGAGCAGCATCTACTTCCAATGTATCTTTTGGTTCCTTTGTTTTGGCATCAATAAGCTCAATTGTTACAGGTTTACCATCTTTAGCTGGAGTTATCTGTCAATACAAAATAATAATAACTGAACAAACATGAACATTGATGCCAACAGAAAAAAAAAGGGGGGTTAAAAGTTTATGAACCTTGGTTGCAAATACACCAGTATGATAGTCAATCTTTCGAGGATTTATGAGAACCCTTTGAGCTAATTTCCCAATTTCAGGGTCGAATCCAGGCATTAACTGATCTAAAGCTTCTACAAATGTCACCTGTGAGACAAAAACTCATAATCAGAAGCTTCATCATATAAATAATGTTTATATGTTCAAAAAGGATTAGTAATACTTACCTCACTTCCAAGTGCTGTATACACATCACTGAATTCAAGACCAATGTAACCACTTCCTACAATAACTATCCATTCTGGTACTGTTTCTAGTTTTAGTGCATGATCACTTGTTATGACAGTTTTACCTGTAGTAGTAAATATTATGAAGGTATTAAAACCATTTTCATTTCAAATGTTTTTTTTTTCCTTTTAAACCATTATTATAGAAAAAGGTTCTGTAAGAAACAAGCATTTACCATCAACTTCAACTCCCTTAGGGACAAATGGAACTGATCCAGTAGCTATAATTATGTTTTTTGCAGTAATAACTGTCTCAGTGCCACCAACTTTTCCATATTTCACCTTCTGTGGACCCTGCAAATATGTTCATAACAGTTTGATCATATGATGATCATCTAGTGCAGATAATAAGAAAAAGGAGAACTTTTCAAAATGAAAGAAATTTATGACATACCACAACAGAGCCAAAACCTGTCAATATGTCTACACCAAGAGATTTCATAGAATTGGTTAAATTGTTTCGAATTTTTGTGGCAAGATTTTGTGCATGATCAGCTACACCCTGTCTGTCATAACCAGCAGCTGCAACCTGCAAATATGAATTATTACAGATTAATAAATTATAGAAATATTTAAGGACTAATTGTTATATTTTTGAGTAAGGATGTACCTGTAAACCAAAAGACTTCATATGGTGTTCATTTTGAAGCTCCCTCATACGACCACTGACAGCAAGAAGGGCTTTTGAAGGAACACAACCACGATTAACACATGTTCCACCTACCACATCACCTTCGATGATGGCAGTTTTCAGACCCTGCAGATGTCAAATTCAAGTTTAGGAAGAAAATAATACAACTTCTTGATATAAGGTAAAAAACATCAAAAGCTATTCATCTATCCCTTTCATTGCTTTGTAAACCATACACATCAACACTGAAAAGTACCTGTGATGTGATAATGAATAACAGAGCCACGTTTCTAACAGAGTTATATGAAGCACAACAGATGCGCATAAAATTTCTACTTAGATAGGTTCAGTCAATATACTTCTTTACTATTCATGAGATGTGCACACGAACAGTATTCACAAACTTGAAAAATTCCTATACTAAATCAGCTATATTGCGCAGAACAGGACAAATTCATGCAAGGAGATTCTGAAATCGAGTTTCTTGCCTCAACAATGGAAATGTTTAATTGTTGCTAAATGTGCAATCGATAAACATAACTAATTGTAAGAATAAACAAACAGGAAGGAAAAACCGTCGCCTGCATTTACCTTCTCAACAGCGTGAAGAGCGGCTCCGTGACCACCAACACCAGCTCCAATAATTACAAGATCATAGTCAAAACCCTTAGACGAATTTCCGTTGGTGGACAAGGAAGCCGAAATCTTAGTCTTGGGACGCAATTGCTTGAATAGAAGTGCATTGTTAGAGGACTTGCATCCAGAGAAAGCTTCTCTTCTGAGGCCACAGAACCGGAGCTGGCTTGGCGTAGCGGTGTTGCTGAAGAAGAGGTCGGAAGCGGCGGAGTTTGCTCCACCGTTGGATCTGACAGTGATCGGAGAAGAGGAAGAAAGTGAAAGAGAGATTGAAGATTGCATTTTGAACAAGAATCGGAAAGCAGAGAGAGATAGAGAGAGGCTTAGATTTTACAGAAAAAGGAAGGGAAGGGGGGAGGGATGTATATATGGCGAAATGGGGGAGCTTCGAGAGGTCCGTTGGAAGGGGCGGAGTTAACAAAGGGGAGGAGAGTGTTTGCTCGGCTTGGACTCCGGTCGTTAGGAAGAGTTGGAGAAGTTGAACAGCGTCTACGTTTTTTTTCTTCAAAATAAAAATAATTACAAATAAACATATACATAGAGATTATGATTTTCGTTTTTAACGATTTTATGATACAGAGATAATTCTAAAAATAGATATTTGAATAAACTGTTTTTTTTAAGAATATGCAAAAGTTTGTATATGTTTGACACTGAATCCAATTTTTATTTTATTTTATTATAATTATTATTATATATATATATATATATATATATATATATATATATATATATATATTTTGCTAAAAACACATTGTTAGACATTTTGGTTAAATCTTACTATTTTTTATATGTTTACTTTATTTTAGTTTAATTTTTATCTTTTTAATGGTAAAATAACTGGTAACAAAATATTAAAATTGTTTAAAGAAATACCATTCAAATTTAATAAATACAAAAAAAATAATGAGGTATTACCTTTGTACATATAATATCATCCAAATTCATTGTTTTTAATATGGCCTAATGGTGATCGGTTGTTGTAGGTTAGAGTCTATCGGTTGCTGTAGGTTAGAGTCTAAATATATTCATAAAAAAAAATAAAAAAAAATGACTAAGGAAGATAATAAAGTATCAAAATTGTTTACAAAATATCATTCAAGTTTAGCAAGTTTAAAAAATATCAATGAATTATTCCCTTTATACACATAATACCATCCAAGTTTAATGTTTGTTAAAGTATGACCTATTAGTCATCAGCTGCTTCAGGATAGGATCAGAATATATTCGATAAAAAATTAAAAGAAATATGAATTAGGGATATTACTTGGAATACTTAGTTTGACCCTAACCTAAAGCAAATAATGACCAACAATTCATTTTTGAACAAACAATCAACTTAGATGATATTATATATACAAAGACAATATTTCACTGATATTTTTTTTACTTACTAAACTTAAATGGTATTCTGTGAACAACTTTCATACTTTGTAACCCTCCATTTCTCTTTTTTAATTTCTTTTATCGGGTATATTTGGACTGTAACTTGTTGCAACAAGTAATCATTAGATCATTTTTGAACAAGCAATGAAGTTGGATGGTATTATATATATAAAGATAATAGTCCATTGGTTTTTTTGTACTTATTAAACTTGAATTTTATTTTTTGAATAATTTTAATATTCTATTACCCTTCTAATTTCTAAATCATTTCCCCTTATTTTATTGACATGTTTTTGTCAAAGCTGTTAAGGTTTATTTTTTTTATTCTTTTTCTTTTTTCTATTACGTAATATATAGATAAAAGAGAAAATGTTATTGTAGCCCATTAATGTTTGCCTTCTGGTTCGATTAGGTCCTTATTGTATTTTTTGCGCAATAGGTCACTTAAGTTTTATTTGACCTTTCAATTAAGCCATTTGGACACAATTTAGCAAGTTAACCGGTTTTGGCTAGCTTACGTGGATAAAAATTGTCGACGTGGAGGACAACTCATATGAAGTGTGTTTACGACGCATCGATTCCAGGTATAATGTTATTACCTTATATTGATCGTCTTCTTATTCATTACTCCCTTTATTGAGCTACAAAAGAGAAAGACTAAGCACAGTTCATCGATGTCTTTGTCTTCTTCTTCGCCTCAGGTGATGTAACGTATGAGGATCGTCCCACGTTAAGGAGAAGGTAGGAGATGTTATTATGTAACACCCGTTCCAGGTATGAATTTAATTTACAAATGTTAAATGTTATTTTGGGTGGCCACGGCGTGGTGGAGTCTCACCACGTGTCACACCCCCGAACCAGACGGCGGAAACGTCTGGAGGCTCGTGTGACGAACAATTGAATTATCATCACAATGAATATACATGAAACATAACACATTCATCATCAACATTACATATAACAACCAACATTGTTCACATCAAATACATTGTTATAAATTACATAAATTCAAAGTATTAATAGTACGATGAGTGATGTTACACAAAATAAATCCATACACACTTGAAAATCTTCCTGCTTAACGATTACCTGAGAATACAAGTTATTTTGAAAACGGTCAACTTATATAATGTTGGTAAGTTCATAAGTATGTTTAGATAAACGTCTTTTTATCTTTTGTAAAAACCCAGAAAATCCGATATTTTCTATAAAGTGTCTAAAAATGATGTGAAAATCAAGTATAGATGCACGTGTGAGTTTCGTAGTAGTAACATATATGAATGCAGTTTAGATTTCTTTGTATTGTAAGTAAGTGATAATTGAATAATAGTATTTCCCCATAAAATCCGATATTTTCTGATTTATAATAATGTCGAGGTTCTTAGATCATTAATTTCAGTTATTTCGTATTGACATAATCGAAGGGTTAATCTTCGAAATGTTAAATTGGTATTGGATCTCTATATGAGCCGTTATAACCATACATGATAATGACTAGGTTGCCTGTCTTGGCATTTTTCCAAATGCCGATATTTGCTCAAGGTTTTGTCGCCCTAGACTGACCTAGTCTAGCTGTAGCGAACAGCTAAGGCGTGGGGGGTCACCCCGTATAGATCTATACACAAACTCCCGCTCTCCCTCCAGGAAAGTCTGGTTATAACTACAGGCTATGATTGTACACTCAAAGGTGCCAAACCGACAAGTTGCACTAGATTCTCAACCTTTCATGTTCGTTATGTTTTTCACTATGTTTAATGTTTACGTGTATGTTGCATGTTTTCATATCCAAAGGTACATACATAAATATACGAAGTTCAATAATTATGTAAGGGATAGAGTTACGATCTACTAAGCATGTGAAATTCAGTCCAAGCCCAATTAGCATGTGAATGGACCACAAAGGCTTAATAACATGTAAGAGGGTAATTTGGGCCCAATAGGCGTGTAAATGGACCACCGAGGCCCAACAAACATGTGACCCATAGCTCAGGCCCAAATTAACATGTAAATGGGTCGCAAGGCCCAATAAACATGTCATGGAAGATATTGGGCTCGATATACACTTGAATGGGCCTTTAAGGCCCATTGGCCATGTAATGTGAATATTAGGCCCAATAAAATTGTTATCGATGTATTTCGTCCATTCGTTATTGTTTCGTTGTTTATATTTAACTCGAGGTTTACCAAATTGATTATAAAAAGTCTTCTTTTTGTAAAAACGACGTCTTGGTCAATAAGCCTCAAATTTTTAATTAAGGCTCAAAGTTTTGTAAAAATAACACTTTAGTCCATAATTTATAAAAAAATTGTACTTTCGTCCCAAATGTTTAGAAATTCACGGGTTTAGTCCAAAAATTTATATTTTGACAATTTTGGCCCAGTTTTGCAGAAAAGTGCATTTTCAGCCCCTTGTTTGTAAAAATTGACACTTTCGTCCCAATTTTGATAAAAGTTACATTTTTGGTCCCATTTAGAAATAAATGTTATTTTCACCCCTAAATTTGGTTTATTTACATTTATGACTCAAACTTTGGTCAAATAACATTTTTAATCCCAAAACTTTCATTTTTTTCGCAAATTTAAGCCCAAAACCGTGAGGCCCAAATGTTTGGCCCATTGAACTAAAATTTACATTTTTGCCCCTTTGGAAAGCATGTTTATCATAAAAATCCATTTTTATACAAATAGGACCTGTTTGATCCTTATAAAAACATAAATGTCACTTTTTGCCCTTATCTTTTGTTTTCTTGACAATTTTGACCCTTAACAAGGTTTTTGCCTTAAATTTTTATATCTTCAACATATAAACACTTTTAACTTCATAATATGATGTATAAGGTGTCTTAGTTCATGGATCTTTACTCAATGTTACTTAAGATGTTGAGATTTGTTAAGATCTAACACATTTTTACAAAATAAACTAAGAAATCACACAAGACATGCATATAACACATAGATCTACACATTTTACTTGTATTCTCCCCCAAAAATCATGTAAAAACCGAAAACAAGGGGGTATGAACTCACCTTTGCTTTGATGTTTCGGTTTTGAAGAAGAGATGAAGAGATTTTTGGTCCTAACAAGCTTTCTTGAGTGGATCTCAAACTTAGGAGGTTTCTAGGAGTATGATCACCAAAATTTGCTTAGAAGGAGTGATATAACATGAGAATGAAGTTATATAAATTGGATATGTAAGGACTTACCAAGAAAATGATGATTTTTGGTGGAAATCTTCTTGATCAACCCTAGATCTTCGAAAATTTGAGAGGAAAGGAAGGAGTGTTTCTTGTGAGTGTTTGAGAGAGTTTGATGTTGTGTGTGTGTGTGCTTACCTTCGGCCGAGAGGAAGAAAAAAAAGAGAGGGAAGAGAGATTAAGATGTGATAGGTTCATAGATGTATGGGATTGGGTATTTGTTTAGAGGGTAATTTTCATGGATTACCTCCATGTATTAGCGAGGTGGCATGGCTTGGATAATTAGCCATTTTTTTATGATGGGCCGAGAATTGGATTAGGAAGGAGGAAGTGAATTAATTTGGGCCCAATCTTGGTCTTCACTCGAAATTTTAAAGCCCATAGATAAGTTTTCAGCCTATTGGGCCTTTAGGGTAGTTCACGGCCCAAAATGGCATAAAAGAATGGATTTATGGCTTACTAGGGTTAATTGGATTAGTTATGGCCCAATAAGGCCCATTAGGGTTAGAATGAATCATTCTAGGCCCAAATGGTCCAAAATGTTTTAGATTTGTGAATTTGGGTCCATTTAGAATCCAAATAGGGTTTCCAAGCCCAAAATAATTGAGTTGAATGCTTATTGGTCCATTAGGCCCAATAAGGAATCCTAGTCCAATATGGACTTAAACCAAGGTTCTTAGGGTTTCAGACTCTTTGACGAACATGAGAGGTGCATTTAAATGAGCTTTGGGTGATATTTACTTAGAGTATATGTTTTACAATCGTTGAATGATTACACAAGAATAGAATTTCCTAGCTAAAATGATAGTTATGACACCACGGCATGGCAATATTTTATGGGCCGCAGGATTTTAATGAACCACCACGGTGTGGCTTTAGGTACCACGGCGTGGCAGCCGCTATTGGTGAAAACCCTAATTTTTAGGGTTT